TTTTTAAGAAAAAAAAAATGATCATATTTTTCTTAAACTTTTCTCAATGTTTACATTGACTTTGATTTACAAATATATCCATTAAAATTTTAGTGGGTCATAAAATGACAGCTGTCATTTAGCGTCAAAGTGTCAAAATGTATATTAACTATAGAACACGTTGGTGCATAATTTAATATTTGTATACATTTATATGCATTGCATATTGAAGGACATGTCCAAAGAAATTTATGTAATATGAAATTAATAATAAGTATACGATACATACATATAGCATGGACAAACGCACAAACGGGATTGAATATTTGATAAACCTCTGGTGTAAATAACGAAATCATTATGTACGGTGAAAAGTTGAGATATGTTCGCCGCTTTAAACATGTTTATCAATATGGTCTTAACTGCACATTTACAAGAAGTACGATGCATCTATCATTTTAGTGATAGAACAAACAATATTTTACAAATCAACTCCACAGTTTATCCACTGGTGATTCATCAAGCTTCCACCATAAACAATACAGTTCTGAAGCACAACTGCGGTGTAATCATCATAAGCGAAAACGGTCCAGGTCGAATTTTGGAGAAAATCGAAAAAAAGTTCAAGTACGAATGCTGCATGAAGTATAACAGCGCTAGAAAATACTTGATTTTCGTTAGAGACGATGAAGAAGCTGAGTATATATTTTCTTCAAGCAGTTTGGATTATATCGCAAATTTGTTAGTTGTGAAGATTCAAGATGATGATTCTTGTTCGGATCTGTTCTTATGCACCAAAGATGTTAGTTTGGTCATATTTACGAACAAGTTTGTTGGGAACGAAAATAGTCCTGTTTTACTCGATGTGTGGTTCTCGAGAAACTCATCTTTTTTGTATGGTAGAAACTTATTTCCGGATAAGGTTAATAATCAAGAAGGACGGAATTTCACCATATCTTCGTTCACTTTTCTACCTTACAGCAATTTCGGTACTTATCCTAAGACAATTAGTCGATACTTTTCTAATCCTTTTTGAAAATTCTTAGAGACCTTCGAAGGATCCGAGCTGACTCTGGTTTACGAATACGCTAAGACACGCAACACTACGGTTATCTTCAAAGAGAGAAGTACTTGGGGTGAAATATACGAGAATTTCACTGCAACTGGATTGATGGAAGCTTTGATTGATGACGAGGCTGATATTGTGTTTAGTCTGTGACACTGCATTCTCCTTAAATTTCCCCCAATTTTCATTCTTATTTCTTACAGATGGATTATTCTTATGGAACTACAGCAACACGTATTTCGATGTTTCCCATGAATTCATGCACCCGGAAGTCAGTTGTATAGCTCCACCACCTAAGTAAACCTATAAACAAAAATTATGTAAATTTTTTAACAATTTATTTTAGAATATTGATAAGTTGGTCTTTCATTTTGCCACGAATCAATTTACCATTTCTTCTCATAATAATAATCACATCCTCGCTGATCGTCATCATCTTTACAATAAACGCGAAGTTCTCCAAGAAAAAAACGTAATATTTCAAAAAATAAATATTTAATGAATATTAATTTCATTTTATTTCAGTTTAGATTTTGTCGATTTTCTTAACATAATAATGGACAATATTTTCTTGGTCATGAAAATACAGTTGCAACAGTCACTTTCAAATTTTAAACACATCAGTTATAGGATTCGATTCAACATTTTAATGCTCTTCATTATGTCAGTTATCATCACCTCAAAATATTCTTCGGGTTTGTCCAGTGTTATCACAGTGCCAAAGTAAATATTAAATTCATTCAATATTCTTTACTAAACGCGGGTCTTGTCCGAAACAATTAACATGGCCCGCGAGTTACGTATTTGTTGTAAATACTAAATGCTTTTAGTTACTATGGAGCAATCGATTATCCAGAAGATATGGTAACGCACAATTTAAAGTGGCAAGCGCGTGAAATAAGTGCATGGACTGACTACATCGAGAACGACGAAACGGTTAATCAAAATCAAAGTTTTGAACGAAATAATTACGTTTCATATTTTAGGACACTTTTGTTCGTATTCGTGAAAATATCCGAGAATTAGACGCGGAATCAGATCTTAAATTCGAAGTTGGATACGTCGTCGAAAAACTGATTTCAGGTAGTATTTTTGAGTCGACAACTAACTAATTTCGATTCCAATTCTTCCAGGTTTATATTCAGTTGACCTCGATATCGATTTTGAAATTCTGAAGTCATTTAAGATCATGAAAACATACATATACACAGGAAGCAATGTTTTCTTTTTACGTAGAAACTCGATATATCTGCCGACCTTTAACAGATTTTTACTACACGCTCAGCAGGCTGGTTTAGGCGAGAAATGGGAAGCTAATGTATTTTTGTTAATATTTAAAATTAAAACGTGCCAATTGAAATATCGCTTTTTCAGTGTGTATACAACTCTCTGGGTTTACGAAGACAGTCAGCTCTGACGCACGAATCCTACAAACTGACGGAAAATCTTAAGCTCAGATTCGCCCACATCCGAGGACTTGTGTGGATTTGGTTTGGTGGTTGCATTTTATCATTTGCGTGCTTTGTTGTCGAATTATTTACTAAAAAAAAATATTAAGAAAAAAATAATTGAAGAAATACCTCGCTTAGTCCGGGTAATTACACAAATATAAATCGCACAATTAAAATTTATATTATCACGAAATGTACAAACCGGACTATAATTAATCTGATCGAGGCTGTACAATTAATCATCATTTTACAAAGAAAAATATTATGTCATTATGCATTTGCTTTAGCACTAATTGAATATTTCTATGCATTGTTATTGTGTACACATAATTCATCAAAGAATCTGATTTAAAATAAATATTCATTAATTTTGTAATGAATTTCCACTAGTGATATAAGTGCTAATACATAAATAGAATTAGATTGAATAATATTATTTAATTCATTTGATTGTATTAATATGGTAAATCAATAACAAAAATAGTTCCATGTAAAAGGCAAATTTACGGAATATTAAATTACATGATAAATATCTGGCACGAATAAACAGGCTAACTGAGTTGAATAATTAATAACATCATGCAACGAGCAACGAAATCAAATCTTATAGTAAAAGAGTTTGATCTGTGCACTTAGTACATGTAAAATAAGTTTAGTGCTTTTGCGATTTTACCGATTCAAATAGGTTTTGCTGTAAATCAACATAAGAAATTTAACACATTACTATAATAAAATTTCAATATAAAACACCAATTTAGTTATTTATTCATACTGTTCTGACCTTAATGATTTGTTTGATTTTCCATATACGTATTATCAATTTAGTACAAATCAGTGCACGACAAAATCAATTCGACAAAAAGACAAACCTTATGTTAGTTTTGAAGGAATTCTGTTAATGTTATGATTTTTTTCCTTTTGTCATTTGAAATATGTCTCTTTGCAGCTGTTAGTTGGGATTCAGTTTTAACAGGAGTGCAAAAATCGAACATTATCGACATATTTTACAGCAAGAATGCTGCTGAGGCTCACAAACCAATCAATATTATGATTATTGTTTAACAGAATGCACGTGTCAGAATTTGTTTAAAGAAATCCGTTGTGGAGATTTTTTTTACTGAAAGCAGACCAACATTCTGGTCGACCTACTGAAGTTCATATGAAAGAGATTGCAGAGAAGTGAAATGTATCATACACAACAAGTGTAGAATCACTTAAATGTCTTGGACTCGTTAGCAATCTTGATATTCGCATGAATTGAAAAAGATTCATTTGACTCAACAAATCAATATTTGCATTATCCATCTAAAACGAAATGAAATCGTCACTTTCTGTCTACAATCATGATCCAAGCGCGATTAAAACAACTTTGAATGCTGAATTGCATCAGAAAAAGATCATACTATCAATTTAGTGGAATTACAAATTACAATTTGAGCCTCATCCAATTAAGCAAACGATCAATTCAGATGTTTAATATCAATAATTAATGAAACTGGAAGAAACATTCAAAGAGAAATGGCCAGAATTTGCAAATCGTGTTTCACCAAAACAATGCAAATCGTCACACACATTTCGTAATTCGTGGACAATTTTTGGAACTTGTTTGAGAAATGATGTGATATGGCATATGGCAGAGTAGGAGACTACCGATCGATAAAACCGTTCTCAACAGAGCAACAAAAGACCTCAAAGACAAGTAGGTACATAAATCAGACGTTCCAAGATTACTTCGAAAATCTGTCCGCAACACCTGCGACGGACTCGCTGTGGAAAGCCACTAGGTGCATCCAGCACCCATGGCAGCTGGGCGAAGGGTAGCAGAGAGAGGGCGAACGTGTTCGCGGAACACTTTGCGAATGTGTTCCAACCCTTTCCGAACAAGACCATCGTAGACGGATCGGACGAGATCAATGCAAAAATTCATTGATCTCGTCCGTTCCAGATGTCACTCCCCATAGAACCCGTACAACCAGTCGAGGTGATGAATGTCATCAATAACTTGAATCCGAGTAAGGCTACCTGATTACGGGAAGGGTTGTGAAGGAGCTACCCAGAAAGGCTGACGACCATCTTCAATTCCCTGCTGAGAAACACTGGAAAGTCGTTCAGCTCGTCGTCATACCGAAGCCGGGAAAAGATCCAGAGGAGGTCACGTCTTCCTGACCCATCAGCCTGCTGCCGGTAATGTCCAAGGTGTTTGAGAGGTTGGTGCTCCGGAGGATTCGTCCAATCTTATCCGAGAAGGGTATGATTCCGGAACATCAGTACGGATTCCGACAACATCATTCCACCATCGCGCAGATCCATCGCGAGACGAACGAGATAAGTCGATGGAGGAAAAGCAGTACTGCTCAACTGTGTTTCTCTACGTAAGGCACACAGGCCTTCGACAAAGTGTGGTACGCGGGTTTGCTCTACAAAATCAAGAGCTCGCTGGCTCTCAACTATTACAATATATTAAGAAGATCTTTTCTTTCTGGTAGACAGACAGACAAGTAAAGATGAAGGGTGAGGTAACACAGTAGTATCACATCCGACCTGCAGACATCCCAGGAAACCACAATTGTAACCTACGTCCACGACATCGCGGTCCTGTCGTCCGGTTATTGCAGTGTGTGGACTCCAGAGACATCTCGACGTGTACTAGAAGTGGCTCAGAAAGTGGCGCATCAGATTCACCGAAACCAAATCTAGCTACGTCACTTTCACCCTTAGAAAGGGAACCTACTGAGCAGCAAAACCATTTCGCAAGCCGACGATGCCAAATACTTGGGCTTGTTCTTGGATCGCCGACTCACGTGGAAGAAGCACATCGCAACCAAAAGGAAGCAACTGGGCATCAAGTTCGCGAAATTGTACTGGTTGATCGGCAAAAGATATCCACTTTCGTACGTAACGAACGACATGATACACAACGACCTCCATATGAACACTGTCAAGAGTGAAATCCCCAAGTTCAGTGACCGTTACCAGAACAGACTAGAAAACCATCCCAACAGTCTCGCGTTATCCCTCCTAGACAACAGTGACATCCCCCATAGACTAAAGCAGCGTTTTCCAAACTGTGAGGCGCGCCTCCCTGGGGAGGCATGGACACGCGTCCATGCGTAAGGGGAGACGCGAATATTAGTAGCAGTGAGCAATTTTCCAAATATCTGCTAAAGTATAGATACATTCCTGTGCTCTTATCCATATTGCTGTAATACGCGTTCAAAGTTGAAAAATTGAAATTAGAACGTTTGCATATGCATATGAAAGCTGAATGTTTGGGGAATGCAGCAAGTATAGATACATTCCTACGCTCTTATCCATATTGCTGTAATAAGCGTTCCTTTTATGAAATGGAGGGTGGTGGGGAGGCGCCAAATCATTACATACTTTTGAGGGAGGCGTAGTAACATCAAGTTTGGAAACCACTGGACTAAAGAGACACAACACCCTCGACCTCTAAAGTTCGTTATATTCGTGCATTACAGTGAATATATTTTAGGTTATTATGTAGTGTCATCAAAATTAATTTTTATTTGTGTTGTTTTGTTATTACATTAAGTTTTAGTTAAATTTGAGTTTGTTTATTAGAAAGTTTCCAATGGGAAATCCGCTCACTGCTGTATTTTGTTTTTCTGTTTTTATTTTCTTTTTTTGTCTTATGGCCAAAACACATTCTACTTATTGTCTAAATAGGCAGCTTGTGAATAAGAAATAAAGGATAAAAAAAAAATGTAGGTCAAGTTTGAGTTTAAACTTATATTTTCTGCAAACTGTTTCAATTTATTTAAATAAATTTAAATTATTCGATGAAAATAGTATTGATTGAATTAATAATTGAATAATTAATTTCCATTTATTTGCTTGCATTACGTTACACGAGAATAGAATATTTGTGAAATTATATGATTGATATCAGACATGGTAAACAAATGGACTTCATTAAATATTTAATAGCACTTATGCAACGGCTAACGAAATCAGTGCGTGATTTAGCGCAAAGGGCTAAAAATGTTCACTGCTCTAAACATGTTCATTAATTTAATATTAAACGCGCATTTAAACCAAGTTCAGTGCATCTACCATTTCACCGAAAAAACAAACTATCTTCAAATCAACGCAACAGTTTATCCTCTAGTTATTTACCAGGCTTCCATCATTGATAACGCACATTTCAAACATAACTGCGACATAATCATCATAAGCGAATACAATCCTGCACGGATTCTGGAAAAAATTGAAGACAAATTCAAGTACGAATGCTGCATGAAATACAACAGTGCTAGAAAATACTTGATTTTCACAAGAAGCGACGCGGAAACTAAGCAAATATTCGCTTCGAGTAGTTTAAGATTCATCGCAGATTTACTAGTGGTTAAGATAGAAGAAGATGAATCTTGTTCAAGTGTATTCTTATGTACTACGCATGTTATTTTAACACTTTTTACAAACAAATTTGTTGGGTACGAAGAAAATAATGAGCCTGTGATGCTTGACATTTGGTACTCGAGAAATGCATCATTCTTGTTGGGTAAAAACTTGTTTCCTAATAAATTGAATAATCAACAGGGAAGGAATCTTACAATTTCTTCATTCACTTTTGTACCGTACACCAATTTTGGTATTTATGCTCATAAACTATTTTATTTATTTTATTCTCACGTAAATTTCTAGAAGATCACGAAGGATCCGAGTTAACTTTGATGTACGAATATGCTAAGAGGCATAACATCACCATTAACTTCAAGGAGAAGAGTCCTTGGGGTAAAATGTTTGCAAATTTTACTGGAATTGGATTGATGGGAGCTTTGGCTGCAGATGAAGCTGACATTGTTTTCAGTAAATCTAAATATATAATAAATTTTCAATACAATTTTAGATTTTTTCTCTTTCGCAGATGGATTTTTTCTGTGGGCTTTCAGCAATAAATTTTTCGATGTTTCTCATGGATTTATGCATACTCAAGTCAGTTGCATAGCTCCGTCACCAAAGTAAATCCAAATTATTGCATTGAGAATAAACAATAATCGTCATAATTGATTTCAGGATTTTCATACACTGGAATTTTGTTTTACCACATTTCAGATACGTATTTCTAATAATAATAATACTTACATCCACGCTGATTGTCGTCCTCTTTACAATAAACTCAGCTTTTTCAACACATCATTCGTAACATTCCAAAATTATAATTGTTTGTAAACAAACATTCAATTTATTTACTTTTAGCTTAGATACTCAGGACATTTTCAATATTGTAACGGATAACGTTTTCTTAGTAATGAAAATACAGTTGCAGCAATCTATAAGCAATATAAAGCACATCAGTTATAGGATTCGATTCAACATTTTAACGCTCTTCTTGATGTCAATTATCATTACCTCGAAATATTCATCAGGATTATCCAGTGTTATCACAGTACCAGAGTAAATAGATTTTTGTTTATAATTATTAACTTAATAAATATTTACTAAATACAAATATTGAATGTTTGTACAAAAAGTTTTGCAATTGTTTCAGTTATCATGGAGCAATTGATTATCCAATAGATATAGCTAAGCACAATTTAAAATGGCAGGCTCGTGTCAAAGATGCTTGGATTGATTTCATCAGGAGCGACGAAACGGTTATACAATTACTAGTGCTGTTTATAATATAATAACAAATTTAATTGTAGGAGCTTTATGTTCGTATTCGAGAAAATATCGAAGAGCTTGACGTGGATAACGAATCACGTTTCCAAGTAGGTTACGTCATAGAGAAACTGACTTCAGGTACAACTAATCCATCTAAATCCTAAACTTTAAACAACTTTTATTCCATTCCAGGTTTGTACTCAGTAGATCTCGATATTGACATGGAAATATTGAAGATGTTCAAAGTAATGAAAACGTATATATACGCAGGAACGTGCGTTTTTTACGTGCGTAAAAATTCGATATATCTTCCGTCTTTTAACAAATTCTTACTGCACGCTCAACAGGCGGGATTGGGCATGAAATGGGAATCGAACGTATTTGAAACATCATCAAATCATTACTTAATACATATAAATATTGTTATGTTACAGTGCTTGCTGCATTCTTTGGGTTTACGTAGACAATCCGCTTTGATTGACGAATCATTCAAATTGACAGAAAACCTGAAGCTGAGAATTAGCCACATCAGAGGAGTAGTTTGGATCTGGTTCGGAGGTTGTTCGGTCGCGTTTCTTTGTTTTCTTATCGAACTGTTCACGAAACGAGATTTTCGATTGAAAAGAAATATAATTAAAACAATATAATTCTCAAATTTCACTTTCTATATTAGGTTTAAGTTCAATTTTAAAGTAAAATAAACATAATTTGAAATATACTTTTACTAATCTACACATACATTATTTTAATATATTTCAATATAGATTTTTACTTACTACTTGCATATTAATTAACAATATTTAATTAACAAATCTAATTTTAAAATTCAATATTATGTATTATGTAATTCTCTAAAACTGCTATTTCAATTGTTTGATGTTTTTGTAAAATTATAATAAATTAGTTCGATAGATAAAACACAAGTCGATATAAAAACGCCGAATGCCCAGACTATAAAGAGACCACGAACAGCTTTCAAGCTCAATTTCCTGCGAGTATACATCTTGTAGTCGTCATGCGACATATCAAATTGCTTGTGGAAACTCTTCGAATGAACCACGCTCTAACAAAAAAATCATGAATTTAAAGCAAATTATTACAAATCGTAACAATCGTTCCATCTTACGTCAGCCTCCCACTTCAAATTGATCCCAGCCTGCTGAATTTGGAGAAGGTGCAAATTGAAATCGGGCATCAAAATCGAGTTCTTTTTGAAAACGAAAATGCTCTTGCTCTTATACAAATATCCACTCATTGCTTTGTACCGACTAATGATATTATCCTCTATTAAATCATCGAATGCGTAATAACCTACATAATAAAAAATATCAGTAATATTTATTTGTTTTATTTTAAATTAACTCTACCTGATGGAAATCGCTCCACTATGTATGCAACAGTATTGTCGTCACCGTAATTATCATCGAATTCTATGGAATTTTGCAACAACTTTTTGAACTTGGTCTGAAAAGATATAGAAATTATATTGTTTGAAAATTATTAGTTATAAAGTCTACAAACACGAGGATCGTTGATGAAAGCTCGAGTCCAAAGATGGATTTCCTTCGCAACGATTTTCATGTCGCTTGCAGCCAACTCGACCACTGTATTAATATCTCCTTCAAATCTAAAACAATATTTTTTATCAGACTATATTATAGATTTTGAATATTCCAATTGTGGGACCTCTTCCTCAAAGGTCGTTATTCATTCAAGAAATTTGATTCGAGTTAATCTAACATTTTGAATGTGAAATACTTAAACGTTATTCTTACTTGGGAACAGCAAATATACTAGTTAAATTGGTCGTGTAAGATGAACAGATGATCAGGGAAAAGAATATAAGATGTATGATGTAGAATCCAATTCCAGAAAGTTTTAGAGCGAAGCTGTGTTGCAAGTATATTTTCCAAACCAGCAGCATTGCATCAAAAATAGTTGTTCTATAAACAATTTCAAGTTATGAAAAGAATATTGTTTTGTATTTTATAATTAACTTTTTAATCCGACCAAGTAATTTGTAGGTAATAAAGATGGATAGGATCGTTGTCGGAATGAATGCCATGGTGAACTTTGGCTTATACTTTGGAAATAACAAATTGAAGGGTGTTCTTATCTTCGGACTAGGTGTGATGCAAGTGATTTCAGATTGTATGTAGACATGCGAGTAATCGAAATACTTGTATGTTGTTTCGGAGATAAAAATTCCAGCTAAAGTAAAGTTATTAATTAATTAATTAATTAATAAGAATTTTGCAATTTACAAAAGGCAACGTCCGATTCTTGTCTGAGAACTGATCCAAGCATTCCAGTGGCATAACCACTGTCATTCACGTTTCCCCATGTTGAGAGTATCCTCGTAACCATAGTTGCATTATGCTTCTTCGCGTAGGTTTGCATTAGACTCAATTCAGTGCCAGAATAGAAAACTTCGCCTAAAATTGATATTTTACTTATTGTTATCATTACTTGCTTAAATATACACACCTGGATTGGAATACGGTATATATTCCAAGCAAACAACCGATAATTCTCGACCAAGTAGATCGAACAATTTGTTCGGAAATAAATTATTTCCATGGAAAAAGCTTTCGTTAACTGAAAACCACGTATCCAAGTAGATGCGCGCATTATATTTGCTACCGGAATAAGCGTGAGTAAATAAGTCTATGCTAAAATTCATATCACATAATTGTATACTCGACTTCACGCAGCTTGAATTAAACTCTAAATTTGCTATTAGAATATCTGTAAGATTGTTGAGCAACGGCGATTGGAAAATTGCATCCATTTCGCTTTGATCGTGCACCAGAAACACATACTTTCTGACATTCGCGTAGTGTCTGCTCGAATGCTTAAACTCGATGGATGTTTCGAACTTCTCCAGCACTGATCGAGGATTGTGACTCTGAACAAGAATACCTTCGCAGTTGTGCCGAAGGAAGTTCGTATTGATCGCATCTTCTTCGCAACTGATAACCGGATTATCTCGCAACCAAAGATGCGAATTCCTCGATCCAATGTTATAGATGCAATGGAAATTCGTGAAATAACTGCTAACAACTAGATTGACGAATGTGCTTAGACCCTTGAACATGTTCGTATTTAACGTGCATAATTACACTTTATGATCGGACGGTGAAAGGTTGAAACAACAACTTTATTATTAATGCCATTTTGGTGTTACTTTTACATGCGATGTGTGCTTTGTGGAAATTACGTTACCTTGATGTAGGGTAATCGGTCTACTTCGCTGAACGATCTCTAAAGCATAGAGTAAAATCACAATTGAACGTTTTGTTTATAAGCAACTTCAAGTGTTAATTACGATTGAAGATCGTGTGATAAATTGTATGCATTTAATGTGGTTGCTTGTTTGAATGAATCAAATATGAAAGAATTGCATTTACGATAGAAATCTGTTCAATGTTTACAAAAACCTTCAATTATCAAACACTTAATAATACATACTACTATTTGATTCATTAAAAAGTTTGTAGGACACATTTTGTAGCCAATACATTTGAAATAATTCCCATTACTCTTAATTTGCACTATTCTTCACACATTTACAATGAATATTAAAATTCTCACTTTTAAGCTTTTCACAATATAGCAACAATCAAACTGACTTTCCTGTAATGAAGGCAACTTAAACAATGTCATTTTTAACATAAAATTTTCCGAGAAAATTACCGGGAAATTAAAAGATATTTATGTATTTTACTGTAAACAAAAATATTTCATTGGTTTTGCAAAATTTAATTGAAATTCATTGATTGAAAAAAAATTGAATTTGTTTTCAATATTCAATGTGGAAACTGATCATGTTCATTCCAGTAATCTGGAAAGAAAATATTTAAAGGAAAATAAATCATCAAAATTTATTAATTTACAATGTTAATCACATTTATCCATATATTATAAATTGGTTAGATTTACTTTTCTCAATGTTTATAATTGCAGAAATAACCTGAATAATCGTATTTCTATTAAAATATATCTTTTTAGTATAGATTTGTGGAACTCGCTAAGAAAACCACCAACAACGTAACGGTGGAAAGTGATTGCGTGCATGTAAATATGTATTGAATATAACATGAATGATGATATTAATTATAGGTATTATATATGAAAGCTACTTATAAATATTGAATGATTTACTATGAATAATGGATTTTGTGTGTAATTCTACTAATATATATTTTTTAATTATGAAAAACAATTTTTTTTGATAAACAATATTTTCTTTCAATAAAGCAATTATTATTTGCTAGTATAGAGAAGAGTTTAAAACAATAATGCATTATTTTTAAATCATTTATCAGCATTGAATGTATCATTAATATTTAATGGCAATTTACTTCTATTTCCCTTATGGATAGTTCAAGTTTGTTCGAGTTAGTTCCATCCGATCCGATCAACACTATGGACTTATCTTTTGTTCTGCAGTTGATAGTTTCACAATATTTCAACGACGTTAGATGCATATACTTCTACAGAGATGATAATTATAGTAGTATTGAAAGTTTCGGAAGTATTCCGTGTGTTGTCTCGACAAATCTAAACATAACTTACAGATGCGACGGTCTCGTTATAATAAGCCAAAAGCCGAGAGAAATCTTCGATCATCTAGAGAATTATTTTTTCGTTTCAACATCGTATCAGAACATTCGTAAATACATAATCATCAGTGATAATGCAGAGGACGTGTTCCATTCAAAAAATGTAGATTTTATATTAGATTTATTGGCTGCGAAAATTCTGCGATTGAAGGAGAAATGCTACAGGAACTTTGCGTGTGAAACTCAATTTTCATTAGACTTTTTCACTCATAGATACGGTGGTTTCAATGGAAGCGATTTAATGCATTTGGATAGTTGGTCATCGTTGAGCGGAAGATTCGAGCATAATTTGGATTTGTTTCCCAATAAAGTCGAAGATCAGAATGGGAGAATCTTGCGCGCAGCTGCTTTTACTTACATACCTTACTCAAATTTAGGTAGAATCTAAATCTATTGAATTAAGATAATAATTCCTGTATTTTCTTGTAGATAATGGATTGGGATCTGAGATGCAATTGGCTAAAGAATATGCTAGGAGACATAACAATAACTTGATTATAAGCAGAGACTATCCTTGGGGAGAGGTTTACGGAAACAGAACTGGAACTGGAATCTTGGGAACAGTTGTTCGGGACGAAACTGACTTTGCTTTCAGTATTTATATTATCCTCATATATAATTTAATCTTTAATTTATATAAATTGCAGCAGGTGTATTTTCTTGGTTTAGAAACCACCATTACCTGGATTATTCTCACGACTTCATGGTGTCCAAAGTTACCTGCATAACACCAAGTCCAAGGTAACTACTTTCCATGAACTGAATATAGCATTTCATTACTTATTTTGCAGGATAGACATTAATTGGGGATTCCTCTTGCCGAATTACACAGTTACATTTATATTGTTATATTTTGCGCTATTGTTATTAGCTGAACTTGTGATGATTGCATCCACGAGAAAGAAGTAACTAATTGAAAATAAGCAAATACCATAGTTTCATAATTTTATTATTATAGGCTATCAATTTACAACTTAAACTTGGTAGTTGTAATGACGCAAGTATCTCAGAGTATACCCTACAAATTTAAAAGGATTTCGGCCCGTTTGATCTTAGTTCAATTATTGTTTTTGGGTCTTATCGTGATAAGCATCTACTCTTCTAGATTGTCTAGTATAATGACAGTTCCTAAGTAGCTTATATTTGCTTACAAAAAAAAACAATTGAATTAATTAAAGAAGTGGTTTTCAGTTACATTGGAAAAATCGATACGCCCAAGCAATTAGCCGAAAGCAATTTAACTTGGGTAGGAACTCAAATTAGTTCATGGACGGACAATATCATATACGATGAACAGGTAGTTCTCATGAAACGATAATAACTATTATATAAGCTTCATAATTTCAGGAGGAATATAAAGTGCTAGTTAAAAATGCCGAAGAATTGAAAGCAAATAGACTCAACGATAAAACTGTGGCGTATGCAATCGAAAAATTGCAAACAAGTTATTCATTCGTATATTATTGAGATCCATTAAATGTAAGTTAATCATTTCTAGATTACTACGCCTTCGATGAGTTAATTACGGAGAAAGTGATCAAATCGTACAGAGCTATGGAAGAATATATGTACTTTACCCATTGCATATTTGCGTTCAGAAAAAACTCTGTACTCCTACCAGGCTTTAACAAACTTCTGTTGAGGGCGCAGGCATCCGGCTTAGGATTGAAATGGGAAACAGATGTACATTTTATATTCAAATATTTAACAATTTGACTATTCTGTGTATTTTTATGTTGAAAGGCCATCATCCAATCGAGTTTACGGAAACAGTATGCAATGGATTACGAAAACTTCAAAGTAAGAGGAAACATTAGACTGAACTTTCCTAGATTTGAAGGTGTTCTGATACTATGGTCATGTGGTTTAAGTATTGCCATATTTTGTTTCCTTGGTGAATTGATAATTTGACGATGATCAAGTATGTATGGATATTAAATAAAATTTTATTCTAGATTTAGTTTGATTATATTAGCTAGAATTCACTTTATAATAAAATCTCCAGATCATTTAGTTGTATATAAAATATAGATCTGAACTATATCCTTTCAGTAAGTTAAGTTCCACAGAAATAAATAAGACAACATGAATTGTTTAATATACAACAAGTTTATTATAAAAATTTGGTTTTCATTCGATGTCATTTTCAACAGTTGCATGTAATATACATATAACTACATTTAAATTCTTGTATCAAAATAATTCTATAGAAAAATAAAAAAATCTCAATTTCGTGAAAACTAAATTCAAACACTGTATATAAACTTAATTGACTTTTAATTATTGAATAAAATATGTTCTTCTTTTTTTCTCTCATATCGTAACAAACACAGTAACATTTCATTTAGCGATTAAATAAGATGCATTTATAAAATTGAACAAGTATAAATAATATTGTCAGAGTACAATTTAGTGCTATTCGCATTTACCGCAGCTGCAAGGCAGATAGAAAGTGCTGATATCGTTCTTGTACTGTTCCAATGTGTTGGCGTTCACATTCAAAATGTTATTCTCTTCTCCGGTCGCTTCGTTGAAATATTTATTGAGCTGCTCGTAGTATTGGCAGACCCTTTTTAGGTCCTCAGGAGCATCATCTGTGTAATCGTAGAGCTTTAAAAATGTGGGTTTCATTTGCTCACAGCATCTTTGCGGATGCGGAATCTCTTCGGATATGAGAATACCATCTCCCTCAATAGTGTACTCCGGCAAAGTGATGGACAACTGTACTCTATTGAAATCTTCGTTATTGATCGCTGGCAGCACCTTTTCAACCTTCACCTGCGGTACATCCGATGCAATGGCGACGTCGTACGAGTGGTCTTGCATTAGCATTTTAAACTGCTCGATGACGTAATCGCGATGTCTTTTATATGGTAGATTGAACTCTTTGATGTGTTGAGGTGTAAGCTCTGGCAACTCCATTGGCAAATCTTCAGGGTCTGGCGAGTTGTCCAAATATCCAACCCTTAGAGGAGGTTGTACCGGTTCAGTGTACCTATACTCGTACTCGGGTTCATCATCCTGATATAGTGGATAGGTGGCATCAGCATCGTAACCGCTTAGATCTCCAGAAACGATGAACGGAATGATGAACTTGTTGATCCCAGTCAAACCGTCGAAATTATCTTTACCAATCCCGAGGTAATTGGTCAAGAGAGTAGGATTGAACCCTTTTGGTGGCCTATAGTTTAAAGCAACGACGAACGCTTCAGTACTAGAATTCCTTGAACTTGTGGGCTTGTGAAAAGACACCTCCTGAAATATAGTTTTCAGCTGATATATCAGAAGATGGTTCTGCTTAGCTCTGAACATTTTTGCCACGAAATTACCGCCTCGCCTCAACACATTACAAGCTATATGAAGAGCTCCCAACAACAATTGGGACTGAACATATACATCCATATCATGCAATCCAGAAACTAAAAAAAAATACAATTTCAATCAATTTGAATTGCTGAAGAAGGTTAATGTACCATCTGGTGCTCCATCACAAACAACTAAATCAGCTTGATCACCATTAAATTTTGTTATAATATTTTGAGCAGTAGAAAACTGAGTAATATCTCCTTGTAACTGAATTACTCCAGGTAAAGGAGACATTGGCTGTAGATCAACAGCGATAATCTTAGCATCACGATTCCACATCTCAGGAGGAGGAGCAATGCCATTTGAAGCTATCGTAACAATTCCCTCAGCATCAATTTCCTCACACATGTATAATTTTCTTGAGAGCACTTGGCTCCAGCTTCCTGGAGCAGCGCAAAGATCCACAGCCTTTGTAACACCTGCAACATACATATTTTTTTTGTACATTTTTTTTCTCAGTCACATTTATGAATTACCATCGAATAAATTAAACTTGTCCGCTAACTGGATCAACTTGAAAGCGCTTCTCGCACGCCAGCCTTGCTCCTTGGCTTTCCTATAATAAATATCACGTTTATCCTTCGACTTTTTACCCATTTCGACAAGGAATTTCAATCCTACAACACAGAAACAAGGACAGGTTATGTACAGTGTGCTGCAGGGGACCGTCAGTTGCTGGTTAATTAATTGCTCGCTAGGTCAGTTATTATTTTTTATATTTCTTAGTGCATCATTTATATGCAACCAATCAATCTCTGATGAATTGTTTGATCAGTTTCATAACCTGTAAATTTTGTTTTGTTATGAAAAACCGAGAAGACAAACAAAACGTTATTATATATTTACACATGTTATTATATTACATTTATTGAATGCGTCGAAATGAGTGAAATCAAGGTGAAACGGTTAAAGGTGATTATCATCTAATTATACTTATTTAATATGAAACGTAATTCTGTTAATTACATTTCAGATGGGCTCACTGGTGTCTATTCACAATGAAGTTTATCCAGTTTATAAAGGACTAAATCCCATCGGTCGAAATAAAGAGGCAACTGTTATCATCAAGGATACTGTAAGTATATTGTAATAGTATTTGAAACTATTGCAAATTACACTATAACTGGAAATTAATTTGAAAGATCTGAAGCGGTAAAAGTGTTAAAAATTATATTCAATAATTTTATTTTATAGGAAATCAGTCATCATCATGCAATAATAACAATTGTAGATGAGAATAATCAATATGTTAGTGATTTTGGTTCCTGCAATGGTGTTTTTGTTGACAACAAACGACTGAATCCATTGGAATTGTGTAAAATCCACGATGGAATGGTTATCAAATTTAGTACAATTGATTTCACATTTAATAAGGTAATTTATTGTAAAATTGTTACTTGTTTAATGACATTTATTATATTAATTAATTTTAGGACACACATAATCTGGAGGAAACTTTAAACCAAAGAAATACACAAGCACATGAATCTGTTTATTCAGCTGCAACACAATACATAAATGAAAGTGCTCTTGGGAACACGCAAAATCAAATTCCCGATGACGGTTTTGATTTCAGCACTGTTGATACACAGACAATTGAAAACAATACTATTCCTACAGAAAATATTAATGATTTTAAGAGATCATCATCAGAAACTGACAATATTCAAGCTAGTACGTCTGCAGGAATTCCGATTGGTAAAACTATAGCACAAAATGAGGGTGAAACTGAAAAAGTCCGAGAAAAGAACTCTAATGCTTTGGATGAATTGTCTGAAGATAGTTTCGATTTTAATACTGTAAACACTCCAACAGAAATAATAAATGAATCAAACAAAGATAAAAAAGCTATTGCTTCCAATGATGTATCGGGTGACGGCTTCAACACCGTTAACACCAACAGTAAACAGAATTCTCCGTCAAAAGAAGAAAATGAAATGCATATGAATTCTGTAAGAAGTCCTAGTAATGATGAAATGGAAATAGGAAATAATTTTAATGGGATTGAAATGGGACCGATCACGCAAGCAATGGATGAAGAATTAGATAGGATGGAAAGAATATCAGAAATGTGTACACAAATTCTACCAGTACGAAACAACGATTCAATTCATGAAGCACCAACTCAAATCATTGATTGTTTGGAATCATCAACAGAAGACGAGAAAAGTGTTGCAGATAATATAAATATTTACGAAGCCGCGACTCAAATGATATTGGAAAATAATCAAGCAAACGGAGATCAAAATAATGATAATCTCGAAGATGAGTTTGACACAGATAGACAAAGTCAATTGCACTTGAGTCAACTGACTAAGAAATGCAGTAGAACCGTCTTGGATAGTCAAGATTTTGACGAAGAAGTGGTTAATACAGAAGGTGTTGAAGATCAGGTTGTACAAGAGAGAGACGAAGAAGTGGTTAATACAGAAGTTGTTGAAGAACAGGTTGTACAAGAGAGAGACGAAGAAATAGATGATTCGAACAAGCAGAATGAATCCAAAAAATGCGTTTTGAACATACCAAATCAGAATAAAAACGATTCTGTGGATGAAAAAATAGATTCCGATAGGGGTGATGACAGTGGTAGTGACACCGACGTGGAAGGGAATATCAATGCTAATTCCAAATTCATGAACTCAATGACGGATGTTGAAGAATCGTTTATCGAAAAGCCCTTATGCTTAGATTCTACAGATTCCATCATACCGGAAACTCAGGAATACAACGATAGCTTTAAAGCGTCAACTTCAAGGGCAGGTCGTTTTTCAAATTTCACTGATGTAATACCTTGTAGTCAAGAATATAGCAGCGAGGATTTGAGTTTACGAATTACCTCTTCGGCATCTTCTAATGACGAAAAAAAGTTGTCTACTATTGAAGAGAAAAGTGAGATTCACGATGATGAAGACGTCATTGAATCTGACGATGAAGTTGCCTTCCCAACTTCCAATCGTGTATTACCACACCAAGACAACGATAATGAAGATGCAGTTTCTGTACAATGGGAATTCGCAGAAACGGCGCAAAAAAGTTGCGAAGAAACAATTGACGATGATTGCGATACAGAAGAATTCGATATTGCGGCTGCTACACGCAATGTTATTTTACAATCCAATACAGATGAAACAAACGTTGTTGCAGAAGAAAATACAAATTCCGATACTGAATTTGATTTCGATTGTGCAACACAAAAAGTTAATGACTCATCAATGGAGAAAAAAGAATCTGTCAATAATATTGAACCAATTGAAATTGTGAAAATTCAAGCAGTTAATGAGGAAGTTACAATTGATGGAAATGAAACAACATTAATTGAAAGCAGCGACATAGATTTCAATTGTCCAACGCAAAGGATTGTTGAGTTACAAGAAAATTCAACAATTTCATTACAAAAGAATCAGTCGAAAGACAGCCTCGAAATGGACACGAATTCATTGTTCGCTGCCCAAACACAGAAAATCGATGGTGAAGGTGAAGATGATGTTTGTGATACCGATAGTTTCGATTTCGGGGCGCCAACACAAAAAGTTGAATTACAGTCCAAATCTGAAAGTGATGAAGATGGAGATTCTCTCTTTTTAGCGGCTACGCAGAAGATAGAAAATTCTCCTAAAAATGATGAAGTGGTCGATGACTTCGACTTTGTAGTCCCAACACAACCGCTTGCATTCAAAACAAATCATAAGAAACAGGCCACAAACGCTGAATTAGATTTGGATGCACCAACACAGATAATTTCTAATATTTCGAACGAATCTACAAATACTGATAGTTTCTATGATTATGATCTTCCAACTCAGAAAGTATGTAATAAAGTTGCAGCAACTGTGCAGGAGGAACCCGATGATAAGCGTATTGACGATGGGAGCGACGATGATTTCGATTTTATGGCTCCAACACAAAAAGTTTCATCAAATACTTACGAAAACAATAATAAAGCAAATTCTAGTAAATATAATGCAAGTGAAGATATTGAAATAAGAAAAGATCCGAAATCTAAAGACAAAGTAAGTTTTGAAATGGATTCTGATTTTAATACTCCAACTCAGGATATTTTGAGCAATTCCATCAAAATAAACGATTTGCTTGAGACGCAACCACTAGAAGACGTCCCAGTTATTAATGAACCACGCATTGAGAGTCAATTGGAAGTTATGTTCGATACGGAGACCGTTCATTATCAAGAGAATGCTGAATGCCGACCGTCGAATCCTATGGCCTCCGTACTTATAGAATCTTCGACGCAAGATATACTTGGGATGTTAGAAAACGATAGTGAAAACAATAAGACACCAGGTAAACGAATGAGTAATTCTAAGCCTGATTGTGAAAAACCGGCTAAAAAACCTAAAGAAGATATTTCTAATGAAGTATGTTCTGCAATCAAACGTGAATCTACAGAGAATAAGAAGACTGACGTAACAAATATTTCCGAAGATTTGAATGACGTTGATAAACAAAACAAGAATTATACAGAACAAGTAAGTAATTTCCATATTCTACTCATTATAAGATATTTTTTTTAAGAAATTTCAATAATTTAAACTTTATAGTCTTCCGGAGAAAGCAGCTGCAATGAGGCTATGTCATCATGGTCTAAAAAGTTTTCCAGATTGTCCACGAAAAGGAACGTGAAAAATTCCAGCGATGAAGAGTTAATCAATGATAATAACGATTTGATGGATATGGATTTTACCAATATGAACAATGACGCAAACACAAATATTGATAACGTAACGATTCTGATTGAGGATTCAAATGACAATGAATTAATAATATTAGAGGATAACTCAAATGATAAAGAAGCAAACAACGATGAAGATGATAATGATAATATAAATAAATCTGCAAAAAAATTGCGAAGGAAAACGCACGCTCTTGTGGATGATGATTTAGAAAGTCAAAATATGGATACGTCTGCTCCAAGCACAAGCAGTGATAACAAGACCCCAAAACGTACGTTGAGAACAAGGAAGCCGAGTGAATCGAAGCCGAATTCCAATTTGTACATTGTTAATTTAGATAATCCGGATGTAAGCGATTTCGTTGAAACCAAAGTGAAAATGACAAAGCGAAGAAAATCTGAGGCTAATGATATCTTAAAGAATCTCGATTCTGTTATAATAGAAGGCAAAAGGAAGAGACGAGGTGCGCCTCGTAAGATTGCCAAAATCGAGGAAGATTCCAGCGATGAAGACGATGGTAAAATCACATTTACCGTACCCAAGAAGCAGCCGCAATTAAAAATCAGCGACACCGAGGACGGGGAGACCGTAGCTGAAGTCATTTTATCGAGACCCAAGGTGCTGTTGAAACGTGGCAGGAAAACTAAAAAAGAGAAGGAATCTGGAGAATCGACTCATGAAGCATCCGATTTAAATATTAGCGTCGCTTCGGTATTGCATATAATAATTATCAATATTTTTTTTGTTACTTGAATTATTTTTAGAGGGCAAAAAGAATTATCAAGCACAAAGTTTGCTTCACGTTGTGCGATGAACCTGGACTAACTACTATAATACGAACATTAGGTAAACTTACGTAAAAGTTTTAATTTGAAATAACATTTTTTTTATTAGGTGGTACTGTGATCGACGATGTAGATAAATGCACTGTTCTGATTACAAAACATGTTCAGAGAACTATGAAATTGCTCAGGGCTATTGGACTCAAAATACCGATTTGCTCACCAAACTGGTTGAACGACAGCAAAAGTAAAGGTTCTTTTCTAGGTAATTATGATCAATTATTATATGTACTTAAAGTCTTACAATATATCTCGATGCAGATCCCTGGGATTATTTGATCGTTGATGAGGAAGCGGAGACCAAATGGAGTTTCTCGCTAAAGGAGTCTTTCAATCGAAGCAATTCAGTAAAATTGTTCTCTGGTTATTTTTTCCAATTACAAGTAACACAGTCGGTGGATGTTCTCAAAGGTTTGTTGATGATTATTTACCTCATTTCATCAATTATAACTCATCGACTACTTTATTTCAATCTATGCAGGAGCAATCGAAGGATCAGGAGGAAAAGTGGTGTCGAGAATGCCGAAAGCTGGTAACTTCGTGGTTGTCTCGGCGCCAGAAAATAAGAAAAAATTTGAAAAATATCTCAAGCAAGGCGTAGTGGTTGTGAGCACTGAATCTATTTTCGATGGAGTTTTAAGGCAGGAGATCGTATTCAATAAATATTTATTGAAATAATTATTATATATATATTATTTTTTTTAACTTGTAAAATTAATTATCTATGCTTCATAGATTGGAAAGTATCTGCATATATATATATATATATTTATATTATTTTGTGTAAACGTTTTTATTGATATTGTTATATATTTAGAAAGAAACAAGTATTTTTACATACAAATTGTGATTATAAATAAAACTTTGTGCAAAAATACCTAAATCTATAACCACATGGACTAATATGTGTTATGTTCCCGGCGAATCCACTATTTAATAATATACACACAAACTTATTTAGAATAACTTTGTGTTTTCTATTGTAACATTTCACATGGCTGAAAAACAAAGAATGTTTATCTAATCACATAAATAAACGTACTACTTAATAATAATAATCTTTATTGCAACAGTAACGTAAACAAAATAAACATTTCCATTCAATAATAAATATGCAATATAGTTCATGTGGGTCTATATCGCAAGCCCGACAACCGAAAGACCGTCTATCAAAATCTCGACTATATCGAAAATTTTTACAATAAAATTTTAAAATTATTTCGGACCGTAGTCACCTTGTGCTACACTTTTATTATTAATTAATTAAATTTTGTAGAATATTTCATAATAAACCTTAACATTATGAAATTATATCAAATACAATTAGATTATTAATTATTATTATTAATAACAAATAGACATTTTCGATATAGTCGGGATTTTGATACAGTCGGGATTTTGATTGACGGTATTTGGTTGTCAGGCTTGCGATTGCCACCGAGTTCATGTAGATCAGAGGTTCCCAAACTTTTTTGTGTCGTAGACCTCTTGCCATGTTTTTCGGTTTTGGATAGACTCCCCAATTACCTGATATTGATTTTTAGTAAATTTCTAACTGTAGTGAAGTTTAGTGTTAAAAACTTAAAGTAAAAACACATGTTAAGTTTTATACATTTATCTGTTATATAAAATATACGTAATACGCAATAAGTAAATGTTTTTAGTGAGAAGGATGAACCTGATGCTTTAATAATAAATTATCAACATTTGGCGTCAATATTGTAAGCTTTCATCTTAAATCTCCTCGGCTAATGATGTCCATTGTTTCTTTTTTTCGTTAGGAGATTGGTAACATCGCTGAACCCCATTTCCACTAGGTATGACGATGGAAAGGAAATTAAAATTTTTCTTGGCTATATTCCAGGTTTTTACAAGTTCAAAATGTATTGCGACCACAAAGCGAATGCCTACATCCTACAACTTACACAATTTTATAAACATATATAATTTTTTTTGTTACTTCATAGGTACTTTTATACATAATGTATATGTCTTTATATTATAAGATAGTATAATGTAAGTAAATAGGTACTATCAGTGTATGTTGAGATCCACTATCGTGAACCCCCATTTTCATTTCATGGACCCCCAAATTCTTTTTTCGCTGACGTAGACCCCTTGCAGGTTGTCATAGACCCCTGGGGGTCGATATAGACCACTTTGGGAAACACTAATGTAGATCATAGCTTTTATTGAATATAAGATTCACCTCCACCTGCTTCTTCCCTCTAGGAAGAGCCTTTACCACTTAGCTGCCAATCGCAAGAATATAAGATTAACTGGTAATATCGATCGTATAATAAGTGACATCTATGAAACGGTAATAGATGGTTACGTTGTCAGGGTAACACTATTTGAAATTACAAACAAGTGTTCGCAACAGTACATCGTCGTTTTTAAGTTAATTTTGTGTTTGCAGTGCAAATTGAGCTTATAATTAAGAAAAAGGAAAACATGCCACCGCTTGAGGTAAATAATTGCTTTTCTTACATACACAGATTGCGGCACGTTAATTTTATATATTAAATGCATTTTTAAGCCTGTTGAATCATTAATTAACGTTTCTCCGCTAACTTGACATTGATGCTAGAATTTTATTTTTAAAATAATAAAACAATTATTGATTTTTAGTGAACTATATGTAGTCAATATGTAACTAACATTATTTATTCATTAGGGTTTTAAGAACAATTTTTAACTTTCTATAATATATCAGAATACATAATTAATAATATACTTAAGATAGAAAAACTGCGGTCATGTACACAATAAATTATTTTTTATTCGTATTTTCATGAAATTATTTACATAATGCAGGATGGTTCTATGTCTAATTCGGTGGATGGAAAACGGACGATTGTTTTCAACTCATCCAAGAATGAACTATTCAAACTACACGAGAATTACAAATCTTTTCAAAGGAAGCTGAAAATATATTGGAAAATCGTAGTGTAAGTATTGCAACACTACATGCAGCATTTCATAATTAATTCAGTAGAGTTTGTAAAGTTCACATTTATAAAATGTATAATATTTCAGAAGAAATATGTAAAATATATTTGTTAATAGGAATAAGGAAGCTATTAACGTGGATATTCTGAAGAACTGTTCTCTGCTAATACTGCCAGGATCGCAAGCTCAATTTGGCGAAGATGAAATTACTGCTATGAAGAATTTCTTGAACCAAGGTGGTCGTATGCTTGTGCTCTTAGCCGAGGGCAATCCAGAAGACACCTGTAACATAAATATTTTGCTTGAAGAAGTTGGGATTACACCTAATATAGGTTCGTTGCTATTGGTACAGTAAAAAATGTATAATGTCGACTGTTAAATTTTTATTTGTAGATACTTTGATCAGGACACACTACTATAAATATTTCCACCCGAAGGAGTGCTACATATCCGACGGCATCACTAATGCGACCATAAATCCAGAAAAACTGGATTTGCGTTTAGTTTATCCGTATGGATGCACGATGAACGTTAGCAAACCGAGCTCGGTGGCTTTCAGCAGCGGATCAGCAACTTTCCCGGTTGATAGGCCTCTGGGGGCTCTGCATTATAATCAGGACAGCGGTAAAATAAATTCACAGCCAAAATACACGTCCCTGGAAAATAGAAAACACTCTGAAACTTTATATTGCATTAAAAGCACATGGATCGAAACTCGTATGGTGTAGCTTGGGATACATGTTAAATTAACATTTATAGATTCGGAACGAAAGCATACACTAGCTGCAACATTTTATAATTCTTGCATTTGTGAAATTTATTTACGTCGTTTTAGGTGGAAGAATAATAGCGGTGGGATCGGGTTACATGTTCAGTGATAAATACATTGATCAGGAGAATAACGATAAGTTTCGAGAGATGCTGTTCGAATTCTTGACCGGAAAGAAGGATCTGAAGATCGCGCCTTGCGATCACGATGATTTAGATGTGAGCAAATGTGGTAATTTTTTGTTTGATAATTTTATCGCATTTTTGAACGTTTTCAGACATGGGATTATCACATCGTTCCCAATACTTCTGAATTAGCGGAGAGGCCCAAATTGTGTTTAACTGATGCCATCACCCACAATGTTTCCGTTGACTACAACAAATTGTTCGACCATAAAACATACTCAATGAATACTAGTTCGGGTAAGTAATTGCCATGATTTTACGTTTAATTATAATTTATAAATAATTTTCATGATTTGGTATTTTGTTTTCTTCAGTTCCAGAAGCGTTAAAACTCTACGATAAATTGGGCGTGAAGCATCTACCCTTAAAGGTGATAAGTCCGAATTTCGAGGCGCCTCTGCCTCCCCTTCAAGCAGCCGTGAGTGTAAAAGAAGCCTTTAGCGTTTTCAGCGTCGCTCCTCTTTTCTTTTTCTTTCCATTTAAATGCCCGACGGATTTCTTTTTATAGGTATTTCCGCCGTCGTTCAGGGAGCTTCCGCCGCCTCCGCTCGAGCTTTACGATCTAGACGAGGCCTTCAGCTCGGTATTCTCGAAGCTCGCCCAATTCACCAACAAATATTTAATGTCCGGGGGTGGCAACGGTCCCGCCGACAAGGAGCTGGAGTTCTACGTGACCGAATGCGCCAAACTCGTCCGACTCGACGTCGAGCACACCGATCCCAAACAGATCCTGTACACCTTGGGCGTCCAATGTGCCCAGTTCAAAAGCATAGACACGATCAAATAAATAGAGACTTTCGCCTCTGATTCAAAGAGGTCGTCACCGTTTTCAAAAGTATGAAATCTCCATTGAGAATACACAATTTAAAAAGTTATGTTCTACCAAAGACAATTGTTTAAATTTGTAGAATATGTTCGAATTAATAATATATTCATTATAGTTCATGTATGATCTAAATTTTAAATTAAGCACAATTATTTATTTATTTGGAAAAAAAAAGTTGAACTTAACATTTTTATACAGATATTAAATTTGTCAATAACAAATAATAATTATGCAAACTAAATAATTGTAACTACAATTATATACATACATTTTTATTACTCTATTAATAAATATATGCGCAATATTTTATTTCTTGTTTTCATTTCTGCTTTTTTTTTGCACTCAGTTTTTGTGGTTGTTGCTCTGCTACTGATATCAGTGGTGAGTTCGATCCGAGCATTGTCGCTGTAACATGAAAACACAGTTTTTTTTTTGTTGTTGCAAATCCAAACGTATTGCAGCTCATAAATTTGCACGCCACACGGTCTCCACCGGCCTTCGATGATTTTGACAACTGCACTGTTGGGAAAACAGAACAACAATATACAACAACAACAACAAAAAAAGACGACAAACACAAAAACTTTTGATTTGTGGTTTGAACTAAATAAATATTTCTCTTTATTTTTTGAAACAAATATCATTGTGATGTTTTACAAAGTTACTGTTATTTCATAATTACAATACACAGAAGTTATTTTATTTTATTAACTAACTTTGTTCATTGTATTAATTATCAGTAATTGTTTAACTATATTAAATAAGGAGATTTACACTTCATCTTTATTGCAAACTATTGTATGATACATTTGATAAACAATAGATCCGATCTGTCATTCATTATAATGCGATGTGCAGTATAATAGCACAGTTAAATCTCTCAGTTAACATACATAATACGTACACAATTTGTTGTACTGTATGTTAATCGAACTGTGTAATCCAAAAGAAATGCAGGTATTTATTAAATTAATTTGAATACAATTTTCTATCTCCAAAATTAATAGATCTTTTTGTAAATTTCTATACAATTAAAAGAAGATATCTATAGTAAATGTGGATTTCACTGAATTTTTCTTTTTCCTCCAGTTAATTTGATTTTCCGTTTTTGTTTTACAATTACCTTTGATCTCTTTTTTTGTATTATCTTTCATTAATTTGGATGAATTATTGATAAATAAAAACATGAATGTAATTGTTTGTGCATTGTTCCATTGCCAAAACAGTGTAATGAATTGCTTTTCCTTCCCCTACAGAATTAGATGTGTCCATTTATTCCCTCTTCTTCGTTCTCTTATACCTTTTTCTTTTGCGGTCGAATGTAAATATGGGCCTTCATTTCGACGCACTTGTATTTGGTGTAGGTCTGAGTAGCCCTTCGTACCACCATCACCATTTTTTTCCGTCTGTTCCTTTATTTTCCTTCCATCCACTTCGTCTGTTCCTTCCCCTAATCTCTGTACTTATTTTTTTTTTCCTGCTCTTATTATTTCGTAGTCGGCCGCTACGATCGAAATTGATGTTGTTTTTTATCGTTCGTTCCTTATTTCTTTACTCTCTGCTTCGTACTTTTTTTTTTACTCTTTCGGCTCCTCTTTTTGAAGACTCTCGGATGGTTGGATGGATGAATGAATGAATTCAAATGCGCGCCTAATGACTGAAGGGACAAGTGTTATTGTCATTGAAATTCATGGGAGAAAAGATTAAATTATATAAAGTATAATTGGATCGAATACAAAAAAGCAAATACAAGATGTTTCCCATTATCCCATTCTATTCAATTCAATGTATATACATGTTTTAAGTGTAAATTTATACTAAAATTTGGTAATTATTTTTCTTATTAAATTTATACCAATTCATTGTAAACAATTATTTATGCGTTTAACGCATTAAATTAAACAATTGTTTATCATCCATTATGTACTGAGGAAATTATTGAAATCGTTACAGAAATAAAAAAATATTTATCATTATTTATTAACTGAAAACGTTTAACATTTCACAATACAAACTTAAAATATATGTAATGACGAGAACAAGAACAAGTATTTTTTGTTTATGTCGTATAATTTTATTCACAATCTGTTTATCAATGGTTGACATTAGGTAGATAATCTTTCCCGGTGGATAGTTACCATTATGATGATTTGAACATTGATAATTACCTAAATCTATATACTAAATCTAGTGGTTTGCAACGCTTCAGCCTGTTTGTGGTTTCACTGTTATCGAGTAGGCCAATAGCCAGAACATTAGTATGTGACTCCATTCTATCTTGGTATCTACTACTAAATGTTGCTATTGTATCCTCGAACATATCTATATGAAGATCTTTGTGTATTTGTATAATTTGTATGATCGATTTACTGGCCGGTTTCAGTATTATTTTATATATAAGTAATTTATTTTCCACTGATAATTCCGACCTTTTCCCTAGAAGCCAATAGAGTTTTCTAAACTTCATTTCTAATTGCACCCTCTCAGCCTGAATATGATCTTTCCTGCTAGATATTTGACTTTTGTTGCTTTGGGCAGATCTTGTTCATTAAGTCTTACAGTTGGGCAGGTGTCTTTCTTTAGCGTGAATGTGATATGCACGGATTTCATATCGTTAACTGCTATTCTCCATTTTTTAAGACATAGTTTCTCATCTGATGCCAAGATCGCTGTGTCATCAAGGAATGTTGCAATCGTAGTATTGTTAGTTTTAGGAATATCTGTCGTGTATAGAAAGTAAAGCAGTGGTCCTAAAACACTTCCCTGCGGCACCCCTGATTCTATTGGATATAAATCGGTTTATTCGTCTTCTATTTTTACCTGAAACATTATATTATCGAGGTATGATTTTATTATTTTAAAATAATTATATGGCAAGTTCTTCTTTATTTTGTATAGTAGTCCGAGATGCCAAACTTTGTCAAAAGCTTGTGATATGTCTAAAAATGCAGCTGAGCAGTATCTTTTACTTTCCAGGTCTTGGTACTATTCTGTTCACTTGCTCTATTGTGCCGTGTTTGCAACAAAAGCCAAACTGATGGTCTGGTATCAGCTTATTTGACGCTATAATAGGTTGCAATCGGTTAGCAAGAATTTTTCGAAAACTTTTGATAATATCGGTAGAAGACTTATGGGTCGTACGACTTGATTTCTTCGGCAGGTTTAGCTATTATTATAATTTGTGTAACTTTCCACTGCGTTGGAAAGTAACCTGTACATAGTATTAAATATTTGAGTGATCAAAAGAATTCCTTTCAATGGGAGTTCTTTCAATAGTTTTACCCTTATTAAGTATGAAACTTTACTATTAATAGTATCATTTTTCTCTTATATTTTTCTTAATTATATATTAATGTGTCTGTAGGAATTTCGGACGGGACAAATATTGTAATACAGAATTCCCGTAAAGAAGTCATTTTGATCTAAGCGAAAAAATTCGTTATGACCTATTGACCAGATCGAGATGAAAAGGGGTAGCAGAAAAAATAATGTGATGGAAAATCTGATGAAGAGTTGAAGCTGCCGAAAAAGATTCGGTGGGAACAATGCGTGAGTGTGTGGGAATGCGGGATGCGGAGAGCTGCTGGACCTTGTGTCCGTCCGTGGGTCCCGACCAACCGTCGTAATGAAAGGGGTCGATCCGGTAGTAGGAGGGTCAGCGGGGATCAGCGCTGGACCAACGGAGGACAGAAAACCCCCTCGATTTCACGTCACGTCATCCCCCTTCAGTGGAGCGCGCGATGCTTTCATATGGATCCTAGACGCTTTAACGGTTTCCATTCAACAGGTTTTTGCACGATCCTGGAGCATCTCCAACGCCACCTTCGCAAACTCGCACATCTTCTATAAACACAATAAACCTGAATCGCTTCGTGCACAGCTCACTTCTCATCATCACACCACTTTCATACAATTTCGATACAATTAGCTTTTTTTTTCAATCAACTTCACCATTAACTATTAATATAGTTCATAATTTGATTACTTAATGTGCATCAAATAGATCAGTGCTCTTCAATCTATGATATTTTCGATTTTTACTAAAGGAATAAAAAAGCTACACGATCTATAAGTAAATTAAAATACATAACTATAGGATTTATGTTTGATTCAAGTTTGATTCAAGTACTTAAGTAATAGATTTGTAAAAGAAACGTATTGATTTTCGTGCCCATTATCGATTTGGAAGAAATAACGATTATGAAGATTTTATCCGTTAACAAAAAAAAATAGTGATGAGCCACCAATGATTCGTGTGGGCCGACCCGATCGTTAGAACCAATAGAATTGTTAATAACGAAAAGAGTCGGGGATGACCGAGCGTTTAGCAATATGATTTGCAGTTGCAACTGCTGATTTTTATCGCGACGCATAGACACACAAAAAAGTTTTCCTATAAAAATCGTCCAAAATTTGTATTGCTTTCTTATCTCTATTTCTTTTTCGTGGACCAATAAGAAATGTTTAAACGTTTATAGCAACCTGTGATTCGTCGTTTTCGAAAAATTCATTTTAATTCATATTTTATCGAATATGTAAGTATTTTAACACTTATAATCTTTTATAAATCTATAAATATCGATGATATCATCAGCAGATGCGTTGATAATTGCAAGGTTTTGGAGGGCTATCAGTTAAGAGGATTATGGATGAGGGTGATCTGCGGGCAGGATTATTCTGTCCTGTTTCAGCAGTTGGTGCATTCGATGCGATAGCGATCTTCGATGAAGAAGAAGCTGTGGCGGACCGGATATCAGAAAGCCCGTTAGCGGTTCTCGCGCATAGCCGTATAATCAATGACCGTTACGGCGACGAGATTAATTCACCGGAACTGGTCCAGCGGTCCGACAAGACGCGCCATCCACGAACCTCTACACCACCGTCTCCTCCCTCCATCCATCCGCCAATCCAAACCAAAAACAACCGAAGAAATGTATAAAGAGAACTTCAGAAGAAATGCA